TTGCTTATGCACCCATTTGTCTTCTGCAATTGTATCGGGAAGGTGAGCACACAATGATATGATTTTTGTTTTGTTTTTCAATCATTTTATTGGGGGCACCTGTAGCTCTTATCACCATCCATCCATCCATTGTGTCAAGCACATTTGTACATATGTTGCTATCAGCATTTTCCAAACATTTTCCTTCTACTTGAGCCCTTGGCATCAGCTCCTCATTATTTTGGATCACTGTGTCTTTACAGCTCAGGTCTGTTCCAGTTTTGCTGGCCAGGAAGGGGTTGGGAGGAAGTGGCTGGAAGGCCAGCTGTGAGATGCCACCGAATGAAACCTGGGGGGCAGTCCTCCTTTGACACGGGGTCGCTACTACTAGTTAAAACTACTCAGTAGCACCTAACAACAGCCTCCAATGGCAGAATCACTGTCACAGTTTCTTAAGAACTTACATCTATCGTGCCCTTGGTGGCACTGTGGGTTAGGTGCTGGGTGGCCGGCTTCCACTTTGGCAATTTAAACCCATCAGCCACGTTGAGTAGGAAGATAAAGCTGTCGGCTGCCCTGAAGATTTACAGCCTCAGAAAGCCTGCATAAGGCTACTATGAGTTGGAAGGGACTCTATGGCAGTGAGGTTGGGGAACATATTAAAACTGCCCAAGAGTCATTTTAAAAGATTTATTTGGCTTGTAGGACTTGTTTAAAAAGCAGGCGAGGCAGCTGCTTACCCCTCTGTGGATCATCACAGGTATAGCCAGGCAAGAATCGAAAAACTCGAGCTCGCTGCCACCAATTCCATTTCAACTCATAGCAGCAACCCTGTAAGACAGGGTAGAACCACCCTGGGCTTTGCACACCGTAACTCTTTATGGGAATAGACAGCCTCTTCTTTCTCCCAAGGAGTGACTGATGGTTTCCAACTGCTGACCTTAATGTTAGCAGGCCAATGTATAACTACTTTGTCAGAAGCGGTTATACATTGCATATATTTGCTTATATCTGGCATATGCAGACATATGATGATGTGTCTCCACCATGAGGAGAAAACAGATGCCAAAAATAGCAGTAATGGTAGGCAAGTAAGAGGCTGATGAATAAGTCCATGGTGCTGTTTTAATTCATGATTAGCAATCATTTCTCTTATGACTAGCCTCAAAGAAAAATCCAGAGACATGCAAAGCCACATTACACCAAGCATAAGGGTTTCTTGAATCTTCACAGACCTGTGATGCTCAGCGTGCTAGTAACCAGGCTGAAGGGGGCTCAGAGAGTCCTCTTGAATGATCCAGGTTTACATCCCCATCTTCACCAAATTATTTTCTTTTGTCCTACAGTCAATTCTTGACATTGCGCTTCCTTCAGGTGATATTTTCCTAACAAATTAGGAGAGGCAAATGCTCAACTCCACTGTTCTAAAGGCAGAGCTCCGGTGGCAATTACTGTGTTTTTCCAGCAGCAGGGATACTTACTTATGTCCCTCCAAACATCATCTATTTCACATAGACACGAAATGTGTTTACTTTTCTAGATGCAACTGATGCTGGATGTCTGTCGGCATCAGCAGATGTCTCTGTATTTAGGCTCTGACTGCCAATTAGGTGATAGCACACATTGAACACATGATCTGCTGACAGACGTTTCAAAAAATAAACGCTGCTGCCCGATAAACAGTATATACGACGAGACACACATTCTGGTGGAAACACTATTCATGAAAGTCAGAGGAATGAATGGTCTGTCAACACACATATTCGGTACCTCTTGACCTTTCTGATCCAAACACGTCTGTGCATTTGCCAACTCTTGATCCCGAAGATCTAGTCGCGTCTCCAAGGCCCGCATCTTCCTTTCCCAGTCCAGTTTCTTGTTGCTGACCATGATGTCGATCTGTTCCATTAACTCCTGAAGCTCAGCCTCACACGGAGAAGCTCTGGCAAGGGTGGAAAAGTAAAATATATTTTAAAAGCGCGAAACGTGAGGGCAAGACAAATCATTCCATTGAACCGAATAGCTCGATCGTCATTTCCCTGAATAGCTCAATTCATTAAATAGGAAGGTGTCTCAACCGGAGAGGCGGCGTGTTTAGAAATCAAAGCTGAAGGTTAATTCCAGTGCTCTCGGAGTATATGTATTTGATTTTCCAAAATATATACCTTTCACCGTTGGCCAATTCTAGGAAAAGTGATCATTAGGGAAAATGGCAGGACTGTGCAAGGTCTGATGCACTTACATGTAAATATGCATGTACCTGTCTTTCACATGTAACTCGAGGGGTGTGAGTGCAGGCAAATGGGGGTTGCTGTCCTGACCTGGCAGAGATAGAAGCCTGGTTGGTTGAAGACCAGATTCAAGCGTGCTTGTGCTGCTCCTCCAACATGCTCTGCAGTCTGTTTGGGAGGAAGGTGACCAGAGCAGGCAGGTGAGGACACACAGGATGGGTGTTAAAACAATGGAACTAATATTAATCAGATCAATAGTGGTGCTTTGGTCTAAGACACCGGTTCTCAATCTGTGGGACATGACCCCTTTGGGGGTCGAACAACCCTTTCACAGGGGTTGCCCCATTCACAACAGCAGCAAAATTACAGTGATGAAGTAGCAACAAAAATAATTTTATGGTTGGGGGGGGTCACCACAACAGGTAGAACTGCGTAAAAGGGTCACAGCTTTAGGAAGGTTGAGAACCACTGCTCTAAGAGGATGTCTGGAGTCCCTGGGTAATAAAAGTGGTTCACACACCTTGCTACTACTCGAAAAGGTTTGAGTCCACCCTGAGGGCTCCTTGGAGACAAGGTGCTTTACTTCCAGCAGCTCAACCTCCGGAGGCTCGAGGAATCCGACTTTACTCTGACACACAGGAGGGCTCCAGGAGTCGGAACTGACTGGATGACAACTGGTTCGTATTTTCAGTTAGTTGGTTTTGTTTTTTTAATTACAGAAGATTTACAGTATTTGAAACAAGACCCTTGGTGACAGCTGGAACTGTTACTACCTCAGGTTCTTCTTGTAAGGAGCCAAGCTATTTCCTAGGAACTGGTGTAAGGCCGGTCACAGGTGAATATGGAAACATAGGCACACGGATGTCCCAATTAGAAGAGCAAGTTATTGAAGCCTTCGCTCAATGGTAGTGACAGAGCTGCTGGTATGCTTTTGTGCTTGGGGGAAGACAGGATGGGGAGACAGGTGCAAAATGACATCATTTCCTCCATTCAGGTCTCCCAAATCAGAGTTCTAGTGTGAATTAAGGATCATTTAGCATTTTTATTAAAACAGAGGCTATAGAAGTCCAAGGCCATATCGTTAATTAGTGGTGGAGCCAGACGCGAGCTAGAACTATATTCTAAACAGTTGCTTCCCAGCTTATGCCCTCTCCTATATACCACACAATAAGAGACATACAAGAACGTGCTTGGGAAGCACAGTGCAGATGATCTCCATTGCAGCAGTTTCAAAACAGGTATTAGAACCCAAAGGACTCTGAATTTCCAGAATCACTTCCTAAGAAACCTAGAGTCGCCCTGAATAATGGGTGGCCCTTTGATTACTGTAGACAACAGGAGAATGGCCAGTTTTGATGAAAGGGGTTGTAAGTACAAAGTGCCATCCTGAAGCCTTCTAGCATCCCTGGGATAAAGCCCAAAGTCTCTCAATGTTCATTTAAAACCGAAGCTCAGTTGAGGAAAGGAAGTGCTCCTTCCTCTATAAATAACCACATTGACTTTTAATTAGAGCTGTGGTCTGGGGGGGGAAACACAGCACAGAACTGTGATCTGGTGTTTTCACATCATTTTCTCTCTTTTACATCAACATATAGCACCCTTTACTGTACATGCCTTTTGCTTATTTATTTAATTTTTCTTGTTAGTGTGAGCGCTGAAAGAACAAGGACTCTATCAGTGTTGTGCGTCACCGTCTTCCCAGAGTCTAGCATACGGCTACAGTACAATCAATCTTCGAATAGGGAATATGTTTGGTTTTTTTTATTATTATTATCTCTTCAGAATGCAGGAATGCACCACATTAATGGAATTAAAATGTAGACCCAAACTAAGATGTAGACAAAAAGCAGACTGTGGGCAACTCAATCAATATTATTCAATAAGTGAATGGCTTATTCCCTGTGTGTCTATACAATGCAAAATTTAGAATCTTAGGCCTTTCAGGTGGGAGGAATCTTAGAAACCATCTAGTCCAGTCACCTATCCAGTGTTTGCACAGATGTTTTTCTAAGAGAATCACCGGTCATACTGCACTGGTCAAATGCAGCAGGTCTAGGACATATGTAACAGACTGGCACAAAGTCAGTTTTATTGGGCCAGTTTGTTATGTCTGGGAAGGTAGGGGTGGAGTGCAACCTACCAATCAGGTCACAGCCTGATAATGTCTCCCAAGAGCTGTGGCCTATTTGTGAGAGAAGCTGTGAAGATCTTCTCCTTGTGCCCCTGCTTGGCCTTCTGGCTTCCCTGGATAGTACACCCGGCACCGGGGTTGGGAGCCTCTGCGGCCTGCCCACCCAGGGAGCTGTGGTGGCCTGCCATGTGCCTCCTGATCTTGGATCCATGCAACTCTACACTCACCCCTTGTGATCTGCCGGCTTCCTACTTGGCCTTCCTGCTTCCGTTCACTGGCAGCTGTGTGATCTGACAGCCTCCAGCTAGTACCTGACCTATGGACTTGAGCTGGACTGTGGCAGCTGTTTTCTTGACGGAAAAAAAATTCCTTCTTGAAATACAGTTCTTTCTTATACATATGTGTCTCGAGCCTCAGCGTCTCCATCGATTGAAAAAAAAAAATCAAGTGATTCTGACGCCTGCCAAGTTTTGAAGTCTGTTTTGCAGAATCATGGTCAAGAGGCTGTCCAGCCTAGGTCTGAATTCTTCCAGTAACAGGTAACCAACCACTCCCCGAGATTGCTTCTAGATAGCAATAATTTTACCAAGTTCTTATATTGAATCAAGAGTCTTTTCCTGGTTCAAGAAACGGGTCCCAATTTGACCCCTTGGGCCCATGCAGAACAAATGCCTTTCCACATGGCAGAGCATCAGGTACTTGGATACAGTGACCAGTGTACCTCCTGGCCCTTCCTGGATCTTCTTTGTTTCAGTGTTCAACATGAGAGACTGTAGATATAGACAGACCATGTATGGCTGTGGAACTTTGACTCAACCTCTGTGCACTCAGCCTGGGAAGTCCAAAGGGAACATGTGCAGAGCCGTCAGAACTTGGTCCACCACTTCCACCATCCTGTTTTGTTGCCCCCCCCCCCAACCCCATCTCAGGACCAACTAGAAAAAGCAGAACCTGTTCGCCAGACAAACCACATAAGATGCCCCGCTTCTAGTTGGCCTGCGCCTAGTTTCTCCATGTCAGCATCCTCCAATCAAAGCATGCCTGGAGCCTTCCCTTTCACTTAATCTAAAGCTTTCCCAACCCCCTGCCTCCCTTTCAGTGCCCGTCGAACATAAATAGTGGTGTCTGGTTTCCTTGCTATAGAACGTTCTGAATGAATAGCCTTCATCTGTTTTCATTGGGGTGGTCTAAAATTATGTCCACAGATAACTTTATTTCCTCCATTGTTCCTGGAGATTAGCCCTCCTCCGCCATCACTCCATTACTTATTTCCGACACTGCCTGAGAAATACCAGATGCTTAATGGGCGTTTGTCCAGTGATTGATGATGACAAAATTTGCGGGTCTTTCATAATCCTGGGGGGCCGCCTCTGAACAAGTCTCCGTCAGTTCCCTCCTTGAAAGACACCATTCAGAATGTAATGTTATCATAGCAGATATGGCCTAATCAGCTCACAGAGGCAAAGGTAGCGATAATCATCCTGTTTCAAGATGAGCTTATTCTTGTCTTAAAAAACAAATCACATCTCTTTTTCCTGTACGCCATTCATTCTCTATTGTGTGCTTTTTTAACCCGTTGGCAGGGCTTTGCATCGTCCTTATTGAATTTCCATCGAATAGCTGCAGGCTTTCCGTGTGCATTGTCATCGCTGTTCTTTCAGCACACAGGCAGCGGGGGAGTGCTCCCCACTGTGAGAGGGGCGAGGAAACCGAGACGCCACAGAGCCACCTCCCACTCGCCCGTGCAAAGAGACTCGTGAGGTGGACAGACCCAGCAGCTGCAGCACCTCAAAACACCGGGTGTGCGTGCTGCTGTGTGTATGCTCAAAAGGAACAAAAATAAAAGAAATTACTTAAAAGGTTTATGTAGAACAGCTTACTAAATAAGACAAATAAGTAGGTGCTCCATTTGGGGATGGATTTTCTTCAAGTCATTTGAAAAAGTTAAGACCTCATGTAATAGCTCATCAATCCCACGGAGACTGGTTTCCTTAGGCAATCCCATGTTGTGTGAAATAGTCCTCTTACCTGTTCCCCAAGGAGCTGCACTAACTACAGTGTAACGTTTCCACGGTGACCCAGACCCAGAAACATGAACTGGCCAGAGCGAGGGGAGATTCGCGGAGACGACTTTTCTAGACGGCCAGCCTGCTCTGTAGGGAGCTGTCTCTCTTAAAACAGTAAAGGGAAAGATAGGCGACATTACGACCTGTATGCCATGCTTTCATGGTAACCCTTCTTCATTAAAAATTAATTACTGAAACGGAGGTTAAAATAGTGTTTACTCAAGCACTTTTCTTGTTCACCCAAAATATTAGTTATCATCATTGTTAGTGCTTGCTGATTAAGCAGCATTAAAAATGTCTAGTTTTACTGCATAATTGAGACTGTCTCCTATTCACTCCATCCTGTTTTCTCATTTGCAATAAACCTAATGCTGCGTGTGAGAGAGAATAAACTTACGTTTCTCAAAGTGTCATGAAATAGGTTTATAAAGGCTGATTCTAAAGCCTTCCACATAATCATCAGAGGAAGACACTTACAGGAACAAAATGCAAGTCAAAGGCCTCCAAGTCCCTG